TTCCATCCACGTTAAACGCGGAGCTGGAGTTCAAGCTTTTCTCCTGCCCCCGTCCAGAGGCAGGAGCCCCCTTGGCCCTGGTCCCTCCCGGTGGAGGCAGTCTGCCTCTAGTTCTGCATGCTTTGGAACCTGAGGAACCTTGTCCTGCCGGCTCCCTGGGCTGACTGCTTTTGCTCCCTGGTGAGCTCCGTGCAAGGCTGAGCCGAGCTGTTGTTCCTTGCTTTGCTCTGTCACTGCATCCTGCAGTGGACGGATACACCACAGGTGACCCACCCGTTCTCCTCTGGACAGACCAAAGAGGACTGCCACCCATATTCACTCCATCTCTGGGGGCAAGGGTCTCCCGGGGGGGCGGGGGGGGACATGGGAACAGAAACGCCCGGTGGGAAGGTCGATGCATCTGAACTGGGTTGACAGAACTTCCCAAAGGGTTCGGTGAACATCAGCTCCCCCAGGAAGCGCAGGAGAGCCCCATTGTTCCAGACGCTCGCGGTGTTATATAGGCTGCAGCGAGGGCCAACCTGGTGGGTGTAAGTGGACACATGAGGGAAGCGCTGCCCTTGTCCTGCCCGCGTTCTTAATGAGCTGGGCATTTTCCCCACGTTGGTTGGCAGCGCTCGTTTCCTGGTCTCTGAACACTTGGCGGCTCCCAGCCCCTTTTTATAGAGTTTCTTCTTTCTTATTGATTTTTTAGGAGCCCTTCAGCTCTCCCGACCCCAGATTACGTGCATCCAAGCGTCGTTTTCTGATCTTTGGCTTGTCTTTTCATTTTCCAGATGTGTTGTGTTTTTGTGAACAAAAGTTCTTGTTTGGAGCACCATGGAGTTTATGGAGATTTTCCTTTATGGTTCGTGCTTTTTTGTGTCTTTTAAAAGAAATGCCTCCCTTTCCTGAGGTCATATGCGTCGTTTCCTGTATTTTCTTCTAAACACATTGCTTTGCACATTTAGGTTTTTAATACACCTGACATTGATTATATATGTATCTCCAATTTCAGGGGTTTTTTTTCCCATATGGATAAGCACTAAGCCTGCACCAGCTGTTTATTGAGTAGCTCATCTTCTACATTCTTTTGCAAAACTATATCCTCTGCAGATTGTATTTCCACTTATGCCTGAGCCTCTCCTGGACCCTCCAGGCTGGTCCTCTTGCCTGTGTATCTGCCGCTGAGCCGTGAGGACGCTATCTAAATTGCTAATGCTTTAAAACGAGTTTTGATGACACTTTCTGTTGTCATCAAAGGGTCCCGTCCCCAGAGGGTGGCCTCGCCTGGGTAGGATGGATTCCTTGGGTGTGTACGGATTCACTCTAGACCCCACTTAGCTCTTTGCTCTTCCTTCCATGGAACAGATGGTCATGTGACTCGGACACCTCTTGGGGATTTTTTTTGGAACTGCAGTGAATGATAAATTAATTTGTGAGGACGTTATATTCTGTGTAGTTAGTATTCGTTTTACTTCCCTTTGTTCTGTCTTGCCTTGGAGACGTCACATTTGGGACCATTTCCTTCCTCCTCAGGTGTGTCTTATAATGGGTGAAAGTTGGTTGGTGGTGAGCCACTCAGTTTTGACTGGAGACTTGTGTCCCTGTGGGTTCAAGATAGTTTTGCAGGGTACACAATTCTAGATGGTTCTTTCCCCTTTGACTTTGAAGATAGTGTCCCACTGTCCTCTGGCTACAGTGTCGACTCTCCTGGTCTCCCTGCTGGTGTCTGTTGTTTTGCTCTTCTTGCCCCTGGTCGGGCTCTCCCACGGGACACATGCGTCTGGAGCTGTGGATTTCAGCGTTCAGCTTGCCCGTGATTTACCGCGCGTCTCGAATCTGATAATTCATGTCTTTCGCCACTTCTGAAAAGTGCTTGGTCATCATCTCTTTGATTGTTGCTCCTCTTCCTCTCCGTCGGCTTCCTGTGGCTACGTCATAAACTTCCACAGACCCAAAGCTCAAAGCAACAGAATCTACCCTCTCATCCTTCTGGATGCCAGGAGTCCTCAACCAGCGTCGTTGGGCTGAAACCCAGGTGTCAGGGGGGCTGTGCTTCCTCTGAAGACCCTTTTGGCTCTTAGCTTTGGGTGGTGGCCCACATTCCTTGACCCGTGGCAGCATTTGCAAATGTGTCTCTGCCGCCTTCACATAGACTTCCCCCTTCGCATTATCAAATCTTCCTCCGTCTCCTTTCTCTGCTCAAGAATCCATACGGCTGCATTTCGAGCCACCCAGGTAATCCTCGCTAATCTCCCGTCCCATGAGCCATGACTTAATTGCACCTGCAGAGACCGTCCCTCCCTTTGCCATATAAGGTGACATTCACAGGTTCCAGGAATCAAGTCACGAGGGTTTTTTTGGTTTTGTTTTTTGGAGGGGACATTCTCAGCCCACCACACCCATTTCCTCCTTGAATTTCCTTACGGAGCCACCGAGGCACGCGGTACCCTTCCCGCTCTGTTTTCTACGGCTGCAATCTTTTTTCCAGTCTATAATTTTCTCTCTCTGTGTCATGTCCTGTACGGCTTCTCCAGGTCTATCGTGCTTTCTCCCGATTCTCTTTTCATCCCTCTACAATCTGCTTTTTAATCCAGCCATTGAATTTTTTGTAGGGCGGGAGGGTTACAGGGGATTGAACTCAGGGGCACTCCACCACGGAGCCCCATCCCCAGCCCTATGCTGTATTTTATTTAGAGACAGGGTCTCACTGAGTTGCTTAGCGCCTCACCGTTGCTGAGGCTGGCTTTGAACTCCCGATCCTCCTGCCTCAGCCTCCCCGGGTTGCTGGGACCACAGGTGTGTGCCACCAGCGGTTCTAGCCATTGATTTTTAAGTTTCAGTTTATAGACATTTTTTTTTTCATTGGTAGACATTCTATTCAGTTGATTTTAAATCTTCATGGTCATTTTATAGTTTCTTGTTCCATGTTCAGTTTGATTGATTGGTTGAATTCTTGACATTGAAGGTGACTACAGGAAAATGCACGACTCTTTCGTGAAATTCTACTATGAAAGTCATCAGAGAAATCAGCAGGAGCTGGAGGGGAAAGTAGGGTCAGGAAAACAGAAAAAAAAAGAAACAAAACTTGTAAGGTAGGTAGAGATTTGTCTGCCGGTGAGACGGGTCGCCGCAGGGCCAGTTGATGGAGCAGCGCCTTCCCTGGCAGAAAGGGTCTGGTCCCCAGAGGTGGCCCTGCCTTGGGAAGGAGAGAGGGTCCACACACAGCGATGGGGACAGCGCTGTACAGAATCACCCAGGTTGGGAGGAGGAAGTGGAGGGTGTGCACTCTCCTCTGGCTGCTTCTGCTTCCTCAGTAAATAGGGAGGAAGGTCATTAACTGAGGAGGAGGAGGGAGGGGTCCCAGTCTGTGGGAGAGGGAAGGTGTGAACAGGCCTGGGAGGCGGGGACAGGAGTGGCTTGGGAATGCAGTGGGGTTGCCTGGCAGCGCAGAGGCCCAGTGGAGGCCCGGAGGCTGACGGCCGGGTCTTAGCTTACTAAACCGTGGAGTTGACCAGCCCTTCCCTGCTTATTAAATCCTCCTTTATTTCCTCTGCTCCAAGCGCTCAAAGTGCGTGAGACCCCGGCTCTCTGGGGTCCCAGTTCCGCCCTCCACACCCCAGCAGCCCAGAGCCGTTCCCTGCCCTCCGTCCCTCACGCTTCTGCCTCCTCCAGGCCCAGGGCTCATCAGGCACAGACCGTGTCCTGTCCCTGTGCGTCCCCAGCACTGGGCGCCAGCAGGTGCCGAGACAATGTCCCTTGAGACCGTAACCCCTGACTTTGGCAGGTCACCTGGAGGCCAGTCACGGAGTCACTGGCCTGTAGAGAAGGGACTGGGACGGAGCAGCCAGGAAGCAGAGCCAAGCCCTGAGGTCAGGAGAAGGCCGCCGCATGGAGGGCTGGCAGAGAGACCACTGGGAAGGAGGTCACCAGGACGGGGCAGCGGGCAGGAAGGACAGGGGAGCAAGTGGGCACTCCCAGCCCCCGGCAAGATGGCCCCAGCTGTGACCTGGGCCCTCACGCTGGGGAAGGTACGGGGGACTGCAGACGCCTTCCTCTGGGAATTCTCTGGAAACCATAGAGCTCTAGAGGTGCGGGGGGGGGGTCTGCCAGCCCCTGGTTCCCAAAGAGCCACGTGTCCAGTCCCACCCGTCCTCGGAGCATGCTCTCAGGAATGGGGTCAGCCTGGGATCCGCAGACAGCTTGCAGAGGAGCCCTGGGAAGAAAGATGAGCAAACCATGTTGTTTTCAGTTGGTGCAAACCTGCCTCTTCAGAATCTGATGTGGGTTCAAATCCTAGCTCAATGATGACAAGCTCTGTGACCTTGGGGCAATCACTAAACCTCTCTGAACCTCTATTTCCTCCTCCTCCAATGAAAACAATCTCCCAGTGTTTCAATGAGGGATCCGTTTATTCACTCTGGTACCGTCACCAATATCTTTCCCACATCAGCCAGCACCTCCTACAGTCGTTGGCCAAGTTATCTATCTATCTATCTATCTATCTATCTATCTATCTATCTATCTATCTATCTATTTTTGGTACCAGGGATTGATCCCAGGGGCACTCAACTACTGAGTGCTGCACATCCCCAGCCTGTTTTTATAACTTATTTATAAGAGACAGGGTCTTGCTAAGTTGCTGAGGTTGGCTTTGAACTCGCGATCCTCCTCCCTCAGCCTCCTCAGCCTCCTGTCAAGGCTTCCCATGGAGAGTTAAATAATAAATATCGCAGGCCTCACAGCCATCCGTCTTTGTTGTGACAGTCGACTC